CCCCCCCCCCCCCCCGCCATTTCCATCAGAGAGATCCCAAAGGCCCAGAAGGAGCTCCCTCCCGCTGCCTATCTGGCCTCGTTTTTTGTTCTCTGTTCTTTCCCCTTGATCATTGTAATCGAAACACAGTCCTTGCTGTCTCTCAGAATCATCAGTCACTCATCTCAAGCCCTTAGTACAGGCTGTACCTCTGTCTGGAACGCTCTTCTGCCAGATGTCCGTATGGCTAACTACCTTACCCTTGAATCTTTGCCCAGACGTCACCCTCGCAATGAGAAGTACCTGTGACCACCCTATTTAAAGTTTTCAACATGCTGCTTCTCCTCTATCCTCCTATAGGGCTTCATCTTCTGATACAGTGTCTAATGTACTTAATCAATACATCTATTGTCTGTCTTGTCTCATCCCTGCTTGAAGGAGTGCTGCAGGAGGGCTGGGTCTTTGTTTTATACACTGATCTGTCCCATGTGCTTAAACCATACCTAACCACATTAATAGGTGCTCAACGAATATTAATCGAATGAAATGAATGGATTTGGGAGCTTGTAAAGAGGATGGCAGTTATAATCTAAAAGAAAGTGTATGTTAATGCAGTGAGTCTTACGTTTCCTTTTTTGCTTGAATCTCAAAACCAGCAGGTTGCCATGTACGTATCTATCACCCGTTTAGAAATTGTTTTCAGAGTAGAGTTTGGATGCCATCGATAAAGTATTAAGCTGTTACTCTGAGTGCTTGAACTTTGTTCCTGGTATGATGTTGCTTGTCCTCAGTGAAAAGCCCACTTTCACGTACCTTTCAGTTAAAACCTTGGTTCATGTCTCTAAGTGGAAATTTACTATCTTCTGAAGTTAGAGTTGTGCGTTTGGTTCCCAGAAGAATTTCATTAAACTTTTTAGTCCCAGTATGAAGTGTATTTCCTTCTTGTGATTTCCTTCTAGATGATGACTGGCAGGAAGCACACGAGCGCCTGGCTGAATTGGAAGAGAAGCTTCCAGCAGCAGTTAATGAGCAAACGGGCAATGGAGAAAGGGATGAGATGGACTTGCTGGGTGACCATGAGGAGAATCTGGCAGAAAGACTCAGTAAGATGGTGATTGAAAATGAACTAGAAGATCCAGCTATCATGAGGGCAGTGCAGACCAGGCCAGTCCTGCAAGTGAGTATGTTACTCTGATTTGAGAACTATAGCAGACTGGTGATTGAGGTGAAGTATTGAGCTTTGCCGTTTTGTTTCCTCCCAAGAGACTTCCTATACCGTAGAAAATTGGTAATATAGTTCCTGATGGTAGCAGTTGAAGGTAGGGAATAATGTATATTCTGGAACACTATAATCTCGTATCCTCAAGCAGTTGAGAATCTCTTGGAGCCTTGTTCACCAAAAGCAGCTAAATGTCCCAGAAAGCCCCCACCATTCCAGACTTTATGTATGTGTTTTCCTTTTTTGGTAGCCCCAACCAGGGAGTCTCAATTCCAGCATCTGGGATGGATCTGAAGTTCTGAGGCGAATCCGGGGACCACTGCTAGCTCAGGTAGTAAGCACTTTGTCTTTACACGAATTCCCAGCATTTGCAGATCTCAGGTTGGCGCCCGTTGTCACCCTTTGCTTACCGAAACACTTCCAGATGAGTGTCACATGCCCCTATGACGCAGAGTGCTCAGCCTAGCGCTCAGAGCCGCCTGTGTTGATCATACACTTCCTCAGCCTCCGTGGCCATGTGCACTTCGCTGTGCTTTAATTTGAAAAGGTTGAAAGGGAGCCATCAGAACTCAAATTGGTTAGCTTGCAATTCAAATTACTTCAGTCATTTCTAGGCAGAACTGTGGGAATGGAGAACAGATCAGCGTTTGTCAGTGGTTGGGGGTGGTGGGAGGGGTAACCAGGGGACAACACAACAGAAGTGGGGGTGACAGAACTGCCCTGTTCCATGATTGTGGTGGCAGATCCACGACTCCGTGCATTCTCAAAAGGCTGCGTACGTGCATTCAGAGGGCTGTGTACGAAAGAGTGAATGTTACTGGATGCGAAATAGAAATAAAACTTAAAAATAATTTCTCAAGATGCTTTTGGCATCTATATGGATTATTAAAACATTTTAAATTGGCCAGGAGCTAATTTTCTCTCTCTTTTTTTTAAACTTTTTCCTCAATTAGGAAATGCCTACAGTGTCTGTATTAGAATATGCCCTGCCTCAGAGGCCCCCACAGGGCCCAGAAGATGATCGGGACCTTTCTGAGCGTGCCTTGCCGCGGCGGTCCACATCACCTGTCATCGGGAGCCCTCCCGTCAGAGCCGTCCCCATCGGCACCCCACCTAAGCAGATGGCTGTACCCAGCTTCAGCCAACAGGTACCTCTCATCAACAGGCACTCAGCCCAGGATATTGGGAAATCTGGGCAAAATTATTTGGGAAATTGGCGATGCCGGGAGGAGGGTGGACGTTTGGGGTAGGCATTAGAGTAGAAAGAGAAATAGCCAATTAGAGGAGAAGTTCGCACAAACAAGAGACACATTCCCTCATGCCCTTTCCTGATGCTGGTCCTGGTGCTGCTGCCTCTTAAGTGGGGGAGAAAAAAGGTAGTTAAGCACATTTAGCGTAAATATCCTTTTCAGAGTGTTTTGCTGGCTGCCCAAAACATTGGCAGAGAGGTAACTGAAAGCTGGGGGGAGTGGGAACACACAGCATTGTCCACATCCCTTTTTACCTTTAAGATATCCCTGCTTTCCCTAGAGCCTGTGCAGTCCTGTTCCATAGACTTTCCTCCACCTGAAACCAGCAGCTGAAAAGGAAGGCCAATTTGGAAGGTATGGGGGGAGGGTGGTGTTGGTATGGCCTAGTTAGGCTCAGTAGCCTATGAAATGGTGGAGTCACAATGTATCACAAAAGAGCTGAGCATGGCGGCCATATCACAGGGGCTTCAGAATAGGACTTAGTTAATCCTCCAGCTTTCTTATCATTCCTTCTCCCTCGCTGCTACCAAAATATATCTTCTTGCAGAGAATTCGCAAGTCCGAATATCTGCTGGTACCTCCCTCAGATAGCATGGAAGGGTGGGGATAACTGGAGAATTAGCTAAATCGTCTTCAGTTGCAAGTGGCACGTTGCTTGATGTTTACGAGAGGAAGTAACCAGAGGTTCTTCTGTGAACCCCCAGCCATAGCGATTTGCTTAGAAGTAGGGCTTTGCATTAAGTTCGCGTGTCTACCAGTACTTGAGGGGAGGGGGTGTCGGCGGAGGAAAAACTGACTTCATTGAGTGTAGTTGTGTATATGTTTGTCCTGATAGATCCTGTGCCCGAAGCCTGTCCATGTCCGGCCCCCGATGCCACCGCGCTATCCTGCTCCCTACAGTGAGAGGGCTTCCCCAAACCAGCTCTGCACTGTCCCGGTACGTCACTCTACAGCCTCATGAGAGCACATGTAGTTTCTGAATGCTGCTCGTATACAGACAGCTCCTAAGTCAGGTGCACTTTTCATGACCTCCGTGCTTGAATTTCTAGATTTTACGGTGCCCAGGGCAGAAGACATAGTTTATCATGTTCAGTTGTTTCCCTACTGGAACTTTTTTGTGTCTTTAAAAATCCAAACTCGGCCTGGTCATCTTGTTTCCTGCTGTTTCAGTCCCCTTCCTACTACTTCCTTTTTCAGATTACATGAGTGTCATGCTTCCTGATTTCTAGCACTCCTCTCTTCTGTGTTCCTTCCATGGGCAGCCTGACTATACAGTTGGAGCATTTTTATATCCAAGTGTATTCGGCATTCATACCGAATTCTCTGTTACATCGATTCACCATTTTCGAAGAATGTATATAACTTTTTGTCCTTTTTTTCCCTCCCCCGTAGAACTCTTCCCTGCTGGGTCACCCTTTCCCTCCTAGTGTCCCTCCTGTCCTCAGCCCCCTCCAGAGAGCACAGCTTCTGGGAGGAGCACAGGTAAGCCTGTGATTAGCCCAGCTCACAAAGAGCTCGCTTCCTTTCCTGACCTTCCCTAGACCATGTCCCTCTTTGCCGTTAATCAGTCTCCACTGCCTCTCGATTTTTCCTACACTTTTTTCAAACAAAGTTACTGATGGAAACAGTATTCACTTTTCTGTGGGTAAAAGCAAGAGGACTTGCTGATGAACTAAATCTGAGATCTTGTCCCCTTTCTAGCTGCCGCCTGGACGGATGTCTCCCAGCCAGTTCGCACGGGTTCCTGGATTCGTTGGCAGCCCGCTTGCCGCAATGAATCCCAAGTTGCTGCAAGGGCGAGTGGGGCAGGTGCTGCCCCCAGCGCCGGGCTTCCGGGCCTTCTTTAGTGCCGCACCCCCTGCCGCGCCGCCTCCCCAGCAGCACTCCCCTGGCCCGGGGCCTCACCTGCAGAACCTAAGGTGTGCACACACAGGCCGCTCTTTATCTGTCGTCCTTTTCGAGGCTCAGTGTTACAATACAGAGGCCTCATGATGTTTGCGAGGGGTGGGTTTTGAGATGGTCTTGGATCCTTAACTCACCAAACACAGAAATGCTTGACAGCCTCGAGGCATCCTTCCAAATTAGCGTTTCCCTAAAGTCACATGCTTCCTGTGTATATTTGCACATTGCTGGTTAATCGCCTCTTTTATTTCTTCTAACCTCTTTTAGGTCTCACTTTATATCCATTTTACAAACACAGACAGGCACAAAGTGTCTCTGGCTTAACAGGAATCACCGTATGTTAAAGAACAGACACAGATGCTGGGGACTAGCTCGGTTGCTCACTTCTGCTCTGGTTTTAGAACAGGGGTTCAAGTTCCGGCTTCTAGTGAAATTCTGTTTTATTGTATACCATATCATATCAGATGCCTCAGAGAAAGAGAGCCTGGAAGATACACACACACAAAAATGTATGTACGTGTAAAATATATATATATATATGTATATCTTTATAAAGAAAAGATTTATTTTAAGAAATGGCTAAGGAGATCCGTAGAGCAGGCCAACAGAGTGGAAATTGAGAGAAGAGTTGAATTTGCAGTTGAGTCTGAAATTTGTAGGACAGGCTGGCAGATTAAAAACTCAGGCAGTACACTATATGTTAACTAGCTTGGATTTAAATACAGTTAAAAAATTAAAAAACAAAATCTCAGGCAGGATTTCTGGGTTCCAGTCTTGAGGCAAAGTTCCTTCTTGTCTGGGAAACACCAGTTTTTGCTCTTAATGCCTCTGTAGATTAAGGTAAGACCCACCCATATTTCCAAAGATCATCTTTTTTCTTAATTAAAGTTTTTAAATGTTTGTTTATTTTGAGGGAGAGTGTGTGAGCAGGGGAGGGGAAGAGAGACAGGGAGTGAGAGAGAAACCCAAGCCAGCTCCACACTGCCAGTTCAGAGCCTAACACGGCTGCTCAGCCCACAGAACCATGAGATTGCGATCTGAGCCGAAATCAAGAATCAGACCTGATCCACCCAGACACCCCCTCTTAATTAATTTTCTTAATCACATCTGCAAAATACCTTCACAGCAACATCTCGATTAGTGTTTGACAAAAAAACAACTGGGTACCATAGCCTATTGCCAAGTTGATGTAAATTGGCAGTCTCACATATTTTCTTTTTTTTTTTTTTTTTTTTTGCAACAATTATTTGTTTATTTTGGTGTGGAATGCTAGGGTTTTTAAAAATTGTTTGTTAATTTTATTTAGTCTTTAACTTACATCTAAGTTAATTAGCATATCGTGCAGTAATGATTTCAGGAGTACATTCCAGTGATTCATCACCTATATTTAACACCCAGTGCTCATCCCAGCAAGTGTCTTCCTTAATCACACATATATTTTCAGTGTCTCACCCAAATAGTTGAAACTAAGCACGTTAAATCTTTTAAGAGCCTTTTGTTAACCAGAGGGAAAAGAATAGTTACACTGCTTTGCTACTAATTCACTCATATTTTATGATCCTCTTCTTAGGAGTTGAGAATCAGTCTCTGTAGAAGACATGTAAAATACAAGTGTCTTTTGCTTCTGAAAGATCTGAGAGTAGACTTGAACGTTCCCTTGGGTGAACATCTATGAAGTTATCCTGTACTGACAACACTCTCTAAAATTTCAAGTCTCCAGAACAACAGAATTGAAAACCTTTCCCTTTTTTCCTCAGATCTCAGGCCCCAATGTTTAGACCAGACACAACTCACCTCCATCCACAGCACCGCCGGCTCTTGCATCAGCGACAGCAGCAGAACAGAAAGTACGTACTCCTCCTGCTCCCTCGTGGTTTCTTACCTCAGCTTTTAGTTTTGACATTGCTACTAAGTTTTTGTTTTTCCTTTATTAATTTTAGAGAGAACGAGTGGGGGAGGGAAAGAGAGAGAGAGAATCCCATGCAAACTCTCCACTTCCAGCTTCAGAACCCAGTGTGGAGCTTCAGCCCACAAACCATGAGATCGTGACCTGAGCCGAAGTTGATCCCTTACCCAGCTGAGCCATCCAGGCGTCCCCATCAGAAATGCAATTTAGATCTGATTTTTTTTTTTTTTTTTTAGTCATTTTATACTCCTTACCAAGTTCTTACCATACTCTTTAACTACCTTCTGTTTATAATCTCAGTTCAGAGGCAACTTTGAAATCTAATGGCTAGCCTTAACTTCAGTCTTCACTCAGCAAATAAAATGTGTGTGGATACAGGCAGCCCTGGCTGTGTAGCAGCCCCTGTGGTAGTTTTTGGGGCTTAAAAGAAGAACAGGACATGTCAAAGCCCTGCCTTCATAGCCATGATGCTCTGTGATCATTCAGATACAGAAAATAAGAAAAATAAACATAGCTTTGAGGTTTCTTTAGCCTTTGGTTTTACGGTTCTGCATGTGTAATTCCTTTTCACTTTTCAAGGAATTCTAGAAGACTGTTTGCAAGGGAAAAAATAGAGGCTCTTAAAATAAGACACAAAAAGGGCATACCTTAAAGGAAAAGATTAATATATTTGACTGTTAAAATATGAAACTTGTAGTGCCTGTAGTTAACAATATGGTTTTACATACTTGAGTATTTGTTAAGAGAGTGGATCTCATTCATGTGAAATATCTTACCACCAAAAAAAAAAAAAACCACTGTGGGACGTCCAGAAACCCTCGTGGGTGTTGGATACATCTGTTACCTCACGCGTGGTGATGTAGAAAGAGTTCGCATGAGGCCAAGCATACAGAATTGTAGACATTAATTTTGTGCAGTTCTTTATCAGTCATACCTTAGTAAAGCTGATATGATTTCACTATTATGTGGAACTTAAGAAACAAAACAAACGAAGAGAGGAGAAAAAGAGGCAGACTCTAAACTCTAGAAAACAAACTGGTGGTGCCCAGAAGGGAGGTGGGCGGGGGGCCGGGGAAATAGAGGATGGGGGTTAAGGAGAGCACTTGTCATGACGAGCACTGAGTAATGTGTGGAACTGTTGAATGTTGTTATTTGACACCTGAAACTCAAAAAAAAAAAAAAAAAAAGATGTCAAGCTTGCCTGTAATGAAAATATAGATTAAGATTAGATGACATCATCTGACAAGCAAGATTCGAAAGGTGTCAACACTGTCACTGTTGGCAAGAATATTGGTTTCATAGCCTCTTGGGAGAGAAATTGAGAGTAGATAATAAGGTTGAAAATGTGGATACACCACAACCTCGCAGTCCTCCTCTTTGGTGGATACCTGGGTGTGCTGTCGACATGGATGAATATGAAAAGCCTGATGTCGAAGACGCAACGTGTCCGGTACCATTTATGTAAAACTTAAAGGCACACAGAATAATACTGTGTAATGTTTCAAGGTGGACACACATGTAGTAAGTCTTAAAAACATTTCCGGGAGAGCGCATACCACCATCGGGCTGCTGCTCCCTCTGGGAAGGGAGTGAAACTGGAAACTAGGGTGCAGACGGGGTGCAAGAGGGCCTTCTGCTGCAGGTGCGGTGACGGGACGTTACTTAAGTGTCCTGTGTACAACTCCGCAGAGCTGCTTCATTAGAACTAAGCACAGTCCCCTTTTGAAGCAGGAGAGGCTCTCAGTATTCACTAAAAGGTTTCTATATATCCAGATTTGGGCAAATAAATTTTTTTTTCCACTGAATCTTAGTGTTGGATAAAAGAATGTTTATCGTGAGCTTCTCTTTACGTTTGGAGTGTTTCATGATTTTCAGCAAGTTAAAAAAGAAGTGTACAGACTGGGGGTCAAATGGGCCTGTGTTCGCATCTCTTTGGCCTCAGTTTGTTGTCTTCAGTGGAGAAAATAAAACTGCCCACCTCTTAGGGTTCTTGTTGGGCTTAAGCAGAAGTCCACGGGTGAGAGTGCTTATTCCCACATGCTGAGGCACTCCGATCTCAGTTCTTTCTGTGTGTGTCACATAGCTCTTCTCAGATTCTGTCAAGATTCAGCTCTTCTTCTTTTTCAACAAAAGCAAATTGGAATATTTTTTTTACCTGGACTGGTTTGTTCCTGTATTATTATGAGGCCCAGGGAATGCCCCGACTTGGAGTGAATGTGCCCTGTTTGTTTTCCAGTCAGCATCGGAGTCTCAATGGTGCGGGAGATAGAGGAAGTCACCGGAGCAGCCATCAGGACCATCTCCGAAAGGACCCCTATGCCAACCTCATGCTGCAGCGAGAGAAGGACTGGGTCTCCAAAATCCAGATGATGCAGCTGCAGAGCACTGACCCCTATCTGGATGACTTCTATTACCAGGTAAGTGACCGTTCTGTCCCTCCCGCTGGCGAAGGCAAGTGTGGAAGTATTGGTAGACTTCAGTACTGACAGATTTTTCGTTGGAGGTGGTTTTCAGGTGGTTAGGAACTAACCACATTCTGTCCTCTTCAAGCGGGAGAGCCTCTCACTATTCACTAAAAGTTTTCTGTATGTGCTTTTAACTTCTTACAGAGGCTCTCAGACCAAAGTATTGAAATAGTTCTTTCAGTTAAAAATAGTCTGGACGCCTGGATGGCTCAGTCGATTAAGCATACGACTTTTTTTTTTTCACTATTTGTTTATTTTTGAGATGGGGGAGAGCAGAGAGAGAGGGAAACAGGATCCCCAGCAGGCTCTGTGCGGACAACAGAGATCCCGACGTGGGGCTTGAATCCAATAACCGTGAGATCATGACCTGAGCTGAAGTCAAATGCACAACCGACCCAGGAGCCTGTAAGCATCTTGATTTCAGCTCAGGTCATGATCCCAGGGTCGTGGGCTTCAGCCCCATGTTGGGCTCTGCACTGACAGTATGGAGCCTGTTTGGGATTTTCTGCCTTCCTCTTTCTCTCTCTCAAAAATAAATAAACCTAAAAAAAAGAATATTGGCAGCATGGGGTGCCTGAGCGGCTCAGTTGGTTGAGCATCTGACTCTTGATTTCAGCTCAGATCATGATCCCAGGGTTGTGGGAACGAGACCCACATGGGGCTCTGTGCTGAGTTTGGAGCCTGCTTAGATCTCTCTCTCCTGGTCTGCTCCCCTCCCCTGCTTGCTCTCTCCCTCTCTAAAAAAAAAGTAAAATCAAACTTAAAAAAGATCTTGGTAGGGGCGCCTGGGTGGCTTAGTCGGTTAAGCGTCCGACTTTCGCTTAGGTCATGATCTCGCGGTTCGTGGATTCGAGCCCCGCGTCGGGCTCTGTGCTGACTGCCAGCTCAGAGCCTGGAGCCTGTTTCAGTCTCTGACTCCCTCTCTCTCTGACCCTCCCCTGCTCTCTCTCTCTCTCTCTCTCTCTCTCTCTCCTCTAGAAATAAATAAAACATTAAAAAAAAAAAAAGATCTTGGTAGTCTAAAGATACTTCCATTGATAATTGGCTTTTCTGAGGGCTGGGATTTTTTGAGAAGTAAACATCTAGCAGTCTAGCAAGAATGAAAGATCAGTACATTTAAAGAGTTCAAGCTGTTGACCGCCCCTGGCATGATTATGTAGTGATAGAGAGCAGCCGTGCTCTGGGCTTACGTTGCAACTGAAATCACTTTCTCATATGGTAGAATTACTTTGAAAAACTGGAGAAACTGTCAGCTGCTGAAGACGTGCAAGGTGAAGGCCCTAAAAAGGAGCGCACCAAGCTCATCACCCCTCAGGTGGCCAAGCTGGAGCACGCCTATAAGCCAGGTAGGTCCTTGTCCCTCGGGCCGTGCTGGAAGATCTTTGGCATGCTGCTGGCATGCTGCCGACACACTGAAACGTAAACAGCCGTGCAGACGGCTAGATAGAGGTGTTTGGAACTCGTTCGTAAAGGCCTGTTGTCCCGACGCACAGAGCGCAGGCTTTTCTGCAGCACAGCCTGTTTCAGCAGGTGCGCTTCTCGGTCCTCTAAGACTGGAGACTCCGTAACTTTTAAAAACGTGTTATGATCTCTGGTATCCCAATAATAAAGGGGAAATACTTGAGATTTTTATTATTGTAACTCTGGAATGGGAAAAGATAAATTTTAATAAGAGATGGCGTTAGATAATGTAGGTTTTTGTACTGAATTGTTAGGCGGTGAGGAAAGACCAGCGGCCCACCTGCATCGCTCGCTCACTTTTTGGAAATGTTCTGTCCTTGCAGTGCAGTTCGAGGGCTCTCTGGGAAAGCTCACGGTCTCTAGTGTGAATAATCCCCGAAAGATGATCGATGCCGTTGTGACCTCTCGGAGTGAGGATGATGTAAGTATCAGCAGAATTGTGCGGGTCATCACCACTGCTCTGGGGGTCTCTGGGGAATGGGGTCGGTTGTTGTCTAACTGGCAGCATCCCACCGGGCATGGCGGGGCCGTCTGGGTCCTGCACACAGGCTGAGAGACCCTAACACCTTCACCTCCAAGGCAGCCGGGCAGGCCGAGGGGCAGGAGTCTTTAAACTGGGTAACTGGCTGCAAACATCAGCTGTCTATTGCAGTTTTTACAATTACTGTTTTCTGTGTGCGCTTAAGATTTTCCTGTGATTATCTTCTTTACTGTATCCTACCATTACCTTTTGCCCATCTGTAAATTCAGTCTAGTCATTTGTGTGGATTAATTCTTTTAGTACTATGATCTTTGCCCAGTTAGTGTTGTTTCAGATTATTAACCTTCTTAGTGTTAGGTTTCTGTTACAGTATGTCCACACTTAAGAAATTATTTTTAACAGAAGTAAACAGTTCACACTGAATAGTCTTTCCTTTTTGTAGGAGACAAAAGAAAAACAGGTTCGGGACAAGAGACGAAAAACCCTTGTCATAATTGAGAAAGTAAGTTTTAGAATCTGTTGTTGTTCTAAGTTTCAAATAAGGAACTGTCAAATGTATGTGTTCGCAAGAAATGAAAAGTAGGCAGTCGGTGTTCTGTAATTTCAGTTAGTGAATCTGTTTTCCTACACGCCTGCTGTATACCCCAGCACACTAGAAAAGATTGTGCTGCACCTCACAGAAAGAACACTGCAGTCACAGTCAGAAGTACCCAGCCTCTGTCCACGCTGTTCAGTTAACCTTCTAAGAAAATGGGAATAAGTATTAAGGTTCCACCTATGAATGTAGTTAGTTAAGTCAGTTCACATGTATTTACTGGGTACCCCCTGTATGCTGGGCACTGTGCTGAGTGCTAAGAGCACTGTAGAACCTTGTAGGCAATTAATTCGTAAGGCATACATACCCTGTTGCAAGGCCGTGGCGTAACTGGTCTGCGGATCACGTCTTCTCCATTTCTAACTGAGCCTGTGATTTGAGGCAGGCTGCTTACCCTCTCTGTGCTGTGGTCATTTTCCTCATCTGTAAAAACAGAGATGATAATAGTCTGTCTCTCACTGGGCTGTGGAGAGTATTTGGTGAATGAGTACATGCAAAGTACCTAGCACAGTGCCTGGTACCCAGTAGTAAAATGATTGCTATGTTTATAAATTTGAGACATCACTGAGAGCAGTGATAAACATCATTTGTGTTAGAATGCTATTCTTGCTGTAACATTTGCAAAGTGTGTAATCATTCACTGTCATTACCTCCTGGGTTAGAGGTCAAGAAAGGACAACAGACAGGGAGGAATTCTTTAAGTTTTTCACTATGTTTTTCTGGATTTTAAAGAGCACCTTTTCTCCTCTCAGTCTCACTACAGTTAGTTTTCCCTCTTCTGTCTTTACCTGGGGGTCCTAAACCGTGAAGTTGTTTACCTAATGCTCTGATCCTGACCCAGTGTGCTGTGGCCTGCTTTGTATCTCACTCAGACCTATAGTTTACTCCTTGATGTGGAGGATTATGAAAGGCGGTACCTCCTAAGTCTAGAAGAAGAGCGACCCGCCCTGGCAGATGACAGAAAACACAAAATCTGTAGCATGTATGACAACTTAAGGGGGAAGTTGCCTGGACAAGAGAGGTAAGAATTGGACACTTGGCGGGACACGTGCAGCCAGCTGGCGCCCTCACTCGGCTGACCTCAGTTATCCACATTTCTGTCTTTTGGCTGAACTTCTTACCATCTCAGGAAGCTCAGAGTCTGTCCTTCTAGCCATATGCCATGTCATATAAAGCATTTCATAGTCCTTCCCAGCCAGGAAAAGAATAATCTCTTTATTCTGGGTTCATATATTCAACATCTGCTTATTCACTATCTGCTGGGCACCGGAGACACAGCGGAGACTGTGGTTTGGTTTCTGTGTTTGAGTCTATGATTTGTACTTGTTTTATGCTTTATTTTAGCACGTTCAGCCTTGTAATTCTCCTATATTATCTTTTCTACCGAGATGAAAAGTATAGACATTTATATTATACTTCCTCGCGATTTCCATAGAATACACATATGCTATGAAAGCCAATCAGTCTTCCAGTGAGGACTAAGCCCCTTAATATATCTTTTTATCTGTATCTGTCTCTCCTGCCCAGGATCTTGCTAACGCTGAATGTTCTCTAAAACCTAAGTGTTTATTTGATGAATGCGAGAGGACTCTGTCCTGATAACTCCATTCCCTTTGCTCACTGAAGTTAATTGATGGTTCTTCTAAGCCAGGACGTACACAAACCAGAACATAAGAATAAGCACTTTCTTTTCAACACACCTTTCTGGAGTCGTGTTGACAAGCAACTGGTTGAATAAATGTGGGTTTGTCCGTAGTTGGGAATGTTAGGTGCCATCAAATTGATGTAATTGAAGTGTATTTATTGACTTGGAAAAATGTCACAATTTGTTGAGTGAAAAAAGTTAAGTAAGAAAGCTGTATGAATTCTGTGGACTCATTTTTTAATGAAAAAAATATACAGCAAAAAGTTTCTTTAAAAAACGAATATTTTTATATTCTTTTTGCTTACGTAGGTTTTCCGATTTTGCTTTTACCATGTTATGTGTATAGTTACATGAAACGTAAAGGAAATGAATGCTTGTAGTTTGACCAAGTTTTTTTAATGTACATTTGTGAAGTGATGATCTACGCTGTGAAACTTGAAAAATTACTTTTTACCATATGGTTGAGCGCTGGAGAAGTAATTCTCACTATTTTGTGGCACAGGTCATTGTAGGGTGAAAACGAGTACAGTGTATTTGTTCAGTAACATGTAGGCAGAGAAGAAGGATGTCTTGCACTGTTCTTGCTGACCTAAGTTAGCATTTCCTTCCCCTGCAGGCCAAGTGATGACCACTTTGTACAGATCATGTGTATCCGAAAAGGGAAGAGAATGGTTGCCCGTATTCTTCCTTTCCTCTCCACAGAGCAAGCAGCTGACATTCTCATGACAACAGCCAGGAATCTCCCTTTCCTTATCAAGAAGGACGCACAAGATGAGGTGATGATCCCCCATGTGGGACTTCTTTCCTCTGGGTCTTCATAGTTGATCAGAGTTCTAGAATCCAAATTGCTTTTCCTCCCCTCTCCCCTTTTCTGTAGTTTTGTCTAACCTTGGGCAGTAGGATTTATTTAAAGCAAAACTTTACTGCAGGCCTGTATTTTTAATCCCACTTTTGTTCCAGCAGACCAAGTTCCTAAACTGAGGAAAACAATAATTCTATTTAATTTGACACAGTTGCAGAGCTGTGCCGTGTATCAGGATTTCTTGGGAAGGAGATAATTCAGATCTACTCCAAACACACTGAACCAGAATTTACAGAGGAAAGATCAGGGCTTTTGTATCTATAATACGAGTCTCCAGGTGAATCTGATGCTCATGAAAACTTGCAACTTGTGGTCTTGGTGATTTTGCGGGATGTAAAGTACCACTCATCGGGCTGTTATCAAGACTTAACGTTCAACTGTGGACTTAGTTGAATAGTATCCCACAGGAATCAAGCCAGCACTGGTAACTTATAATTGTAGTGATCTAAACTAGGCTAGAATTTGCGGTGCCTGGGTGGCTCAGTCACTTATGCATCCGACTTCAGCTCAGGTCATGATCTCGTGGTTTATGGGTTCGAGCTCCGCGTCAGGCTCTGTACTGACAGCTCGGAACCTAGAGCTTGCTTCAGATTCTGTCTCCTCTCTCTGCCCTTCCCCCACTCACACTGTCTCTCTTACTCAAAAAAATGAGCAAATATTTTTTAAAAATTTAAACTAGGCTGGAATTTGAAACATGGTTTTGAAGGTTATAACTTAACTCCTGGTAAGAATTGCTCTTTGCTTATCTTTGTTGTAACACTTGAAAGATCAGCAATTTTTAGAACAGTCTTAAGTTCAGAGCAAGCAGTTGATAAGGGTAACATAAAGGGCAATTATTACTAAGTGTGAGGTTCAGATTGTTAGAATTTATGAGTGAGCCTGTTAAAATAGACTGTGAGTTGACGAATAACAATCTGGTGATGGTCCGCAGAAAACGTGATGCCAGGATACCCTGTAAGTGGTATGGCCTGGAAGAGTTGAAAATTACTTCTTCTGAAATAATTACTCCTTCTGAGTTGAGAAATTTCTTCTGAAGTTGTAGCACCTGCAGAAGAAATTAATGCAAAGTGGAGCCTTCATCGTTAGGAAAAGTGAAGTGGGATAAGACAAAACATTTTTTAGGGATTTCAAGAAGGAAAAATGGATTGGAGTAAAGTTTAAGGATTTGAGGTTTAGCCTCGAAAACCGAAGTAGGACTGAAAGCACCAGCTCCCTTGACAGCATGTAGATTGTTCTAGGCCATGAGGCGAGCACTCAGTCTTAGAGAAGTTCCTCAGGGGAAACAAGTTTGGGAGAGCTTTATTCATTCCGCAAATATGTATTGAACACCTCTCTGTACCAGGTGCTATTTTAGGTCCCAGAAATTTAGCATCTAGAGCTAGGTCCTGAGAGCTAGGAATTCGAAGATGCTTGCCTGAGTGGAGGTACCTGCTAATGAGGAAAACTTGGTTAACTGCAGAGGCTGAGTTTTCACCTGTATGCGTTAAAGAGTCATAGACCACTTCTCCAGATACCATTTCTTGAAATAATAACTAGCAGGTCTGAGGCATAAAATATACAAGGTAATCCTGGAATATCTTGTGCCAGAAAGTAAGGAAGCTAAATGATTAGTGGGGTCCCCTGTAAAATTGAACACACCAAACTGAAGGGGCTCTGGTTGTCCAAAAATGGGGTAATTTGCATCAGAAAGAAAAATTACAGCAATGGCTTAAAATATATTACATATTTTAATGAGTTCATAATGATGCCAGAAAATATATTAGTCACCTTCAGAGGTTGCTAGGCCATCAAGAACTCATTATTCTGAAAATGGGTAAATTTCAAAAGACAATGAAACCTTTATCCTGCCTTGCCGTCCAAGTCTCATGGTAACTAGAAAGTTGATAACAGAAAGTTCTTCATAGAAGAATTCCAGCTAATAAATGCAAAAGAAATGATAAAATCAGCAAATCACCCCTTTTCCACCCCTAATAACACAGTCAGGCTGGAGAGTGGGGCCTGCTGGTGCAAGAGGCGTCAGGTAACAGGTAGGTGGGGGACATTACTGTGGTTGGGACTGCAGACCCCTGACCGCTGAGCGGGACCACCACACACGGTGCTTCTTGACATGACGGAGGAGAAAGCATACTGCTTCTTGCCCTCCCCTCAGAGAACTTAAATCTGATTTAATCAAACCTACTATTCTAGCCATCAGGGTTTTTGTTTTTTGGTTTTTTTGGTTTTTTTTAGAAAGACAGATGCTAGTAGAAGCTGTTTGTTAAGTGACCTCACGGAGGTGCAAATAGCTAAATCCAAAGTATGGGACAGATGACCCAGTTTCTTCAACAGCTAAACAGAAGGAAAGGAAACAGGCAGTGGGCACAGGACCTATTCACAGATTTCTTTTCTTTTTTTTTGAGTGAGCACAAGTGAGAGAGGGGGCATGGAGCCCAATGCAGGGTTCAAACTCCAGAACCTGTGAGATCATGACCTGAGCCAAAATCAGTGATTAGACAACCAGCGGAACCACTCAGATGCCCCCCCCCCCCCCCCCCCCCCCCCCATTCACAGATTTTAAAAGCCTTACCAGCCAGATGCAAAGTCTGGGTCTTGTTGGAATTACGATTAGAATAAGTCATCTGCTAAAAGACATTTTTGAGACAAGCAGAGAAATTTACTTTGGAGGAGATGTAATTTTGTTAGGTGTCACATACAGCAAGAGATCTTGTTAGAGATTCAAACTAGAGTGTTTAGGGATGAAACGATTTAGATTTAATAAGATTGGCAGGATGTCAATGATTTAATTATTGTTGAAGCTGGGTGATGAGTACATAGGCTTCATCATACACTTGTTCACACTTTTATGTATGATTAAAACTGCTTTCATTGTTAAAGCTTTGTTTATATAGACTAATAGATCATAAATAGACTATTTTTGAACTCCAGCCTTGAATGCTGTCTGAAGTAATACCGGCCATCATTTTTTATGCTGTGAGCCCTGAGTGCTAGGAGCACCCTTGATCTCTGTGCCTGTGTTAGAACCTAGGTCTGTTGGTAGCACTGTATTTTTACTTTCCAGTCTGGGCCTCGGGGCTGAAAGGAGGGAAGGACTTGCAGGCTAGAATTCAATGGGCTTGGATTCTGGTTCTTTCTGTTAGCTATGTCACTCTGAACACCAAGCTCCTTTTCATTTAGCTTGTCTGATCTGTGAAAATTGGATTATCATTTCTCCATTTCCTCACTGAGCTTTTATAAAGATCAAACAGGACCCAGGGAAGTCTGAAAGTACTTCTGGGTAGTTCTGAGGACTCGAGATTTGCCTGTGTCAGCGTGCTCCCCACGGTACAATGAAAGTGCCCATGTACCCGCGACTCCCCGCTCAGCCTTAGATCCCTGAAGGTCTGTCCTGTTTACCATCTCGTTTTAACCCAGGTGCCTGACACACTGTATGCATTTCAGTGTTTGTAGAGTGAATTAAAATACTAATGTCTCATCATGAATCTTGCTGTTTGAGAAGTGATTTTACACCCTCGGTTCACACAAGTCATGTTTCCTGTGCAAATCGGGTTTTAAAAAGTTCCCGGTAGACACCTCCGAACCCATTGTTAAGACCTGGTAGTACCTGCTAGACCCGCCAGCCCTTTTTTGTTACAACTTGCCTGAGGCCCTTAGTGCACAGCTGAGCACCCGCTCCTGTCCGCGCCCACGGACGCCGCACTTGCCAGGATGTCATGCTTTTCTCTGTTTTTTGTAGGTGCTGCCATGCTTACTGAGTCCCTTCTCCCTCCTGCTCTATCACCTTCCGTCAGTGACTGTCACCAGCCTTCTGCAACAGCTAATGAACCTACCTCAGAGCGCGGCCGCGCCGGCGCCCTCTAACCCTCACCTCGCTGCTGTGCTCCAGAACAAGGTGCCCGAGCCCTCCTGTGTCCCTGAGCTTGCCAGCCTTCTAGATTTGAGTTGTAGGTACAAGTAAGGGCTGCTGCTGTGGCTGTGGCAGCTTATAGAAGAAAGGCTTCTTTCAGTCAGGAGTTACATTGAGATCCTAGTGACAGAGGCGAGAAAGAACGATGGTCTCAACAAAGTGCGGTTTTCTGTATCTCACGTGGAACAGCTCTGGGGTGGCGTCCACACTGTCCTCAGGGACACAGGCTCCTTCACCTTCTCTGCAGCCTTAGCAGTGGCTGCCGTGCTCGTGACCCTTGGGCTCCATGCTGGTTGTTGAATTAAAGGTTCCACTTTGCATCAGGAAGAGAGGTGTGTGCAGAGGGGCCAAACGGTGGATATTTACTGTCTGTCTGCCTTGCTTGGACCTGTTCCAGGAGTTCTAACCAACAGCCTCAGTGGCCAGGTTCTACTCATACCTGCCATACGTCATTGCAGTGAAGGCTGGAAAACCTCTTTCAGTTCACAGCCGTGTGACCTCAGATAAAATGGGGGTTCTCACATGAAGATGAGAACGTACTGGGTTGGTAATCCGCACTCTTGGTCAGGAGGCTAAATAGTAGAACCTCCCGTTGCATATTTCATTTACATCAGTTTGACGATCCAGAGATGTGCGGGGGAAGCCTAACATAGAGGATGCGAGCTCTCAGCAGGTTTCCATTCCTTGCCTGCCATTTTCTAGACTTGTGATGCCAAACAGATGATTACACTTTGCTGAGCCCATTTCCTGATCTGGAAGTGGAGGTGATGAGGTCAACTCCAGAGATACCCTGTTACTCAGATGAGCGCACCGCTGTGACCTTCAGTGTCCTGCCTTTCCACGGTGGGCGCGTGTGCTAGCAGAGAGAGAGGGAGGGAGAGAGTCGAGACCTCTATCCCCCTAGCACCTAAAAACCCACCGAAGTGTGACTGAGGGCAGAACACCCAAGGCCAAGTGGACACAGTGCTCCGGGGGCCAGAAGATGGGCGTTATGGGCCTTGCACGTTATTTGGTTTATGAATTTTAACATTGATAAAGGCGATGGAAGATGGTGAGGTCAGACAAGAAATGATCTGTGTAGCCCAGTGTTGTCCTCTGTGAGGTAAACACAGAAAGCTGGGGTTCCCTTCAGGTCCGTTGCAGCTACGACTCCTGCACTTAACCTCGTCCCCTCGTCCCCATTGTATTTCGTTCTGTGCCCCTTCAGACCGCACGGGTCCTGCTCTTACTGCCCCCCGGATAAAACAAATCTAACGAAACAGATCTTTAATCTCTAAGGCCTGTTGCTAAATTAGATATGTGGATATATCATGTATCCTTTTTCTGTGTTTAATGTCTTATCTAAGCCTTTATGTGTCCGGTGTGTGTTTCCTTGGTTAAGGAAAGTTTTTAAGGAGATTTAAGGAAATCTCTTCACATCCTGATCATTTCAGTTACCTTTCTTTGTACATTTTCCCACCAGTCTTCACATCTTTTTTCTTAATTCAAAATCTCTTCATCTATTTAGTGTTTTCCTTTACCTTTTCTGTGACCTTTAATTTTCTGTATCTAAGTTTGTCTTTGATTTTCTTTTTTAATCCATTTCTGTTTTGGCAAACAGGAGAAAATCTAACCGGTGTATTATCCGTGCAGGGAAACAGTAGCTTCTCCTCGCATGGTGGGGTGGGCAAGCAGAGAGGGGGCTCGGTGCTGGGCTCCGGGACGCGCCCTCCCCCGGAAGTGCCTGTTGCTGCTCTGCCGGAAGCAGAGTAGGAGGACTCGGCCCCCCTGGTCTTGGTTGTCTGCCGTTTGCCCCATTTTGCAGCACAGCCGAGGGGTCCGTCGGTCTGGTGCTGTTCCCCATCTAGTACCGGGACCCCTGCGGTGGTGGTGGAGGCCTGGATGCGGTGCTGAGTTTGAGTGCCTCTGTCTCCTCTTGCAGTTTGGCCTGTCACTGCTCCTCGTCATCCTGAGCCGTGGGGAAGACCTCCAGAGTTCAGACCCTGCTTCAGAATCCACACACAGCAGCCAGTGGTCAGTCGGGACTGGGTTTCCCCCCTCCTGATCTTTCGGAATAATCTTTCGTTGTTTTTCGCATATTGTCCTTATCGGTTCTTACCGGTTTACCTTTCAGGACAGAGGTGATGTTCATGGCTACCCGAGAACTCCTGCGGATGCCCCAGGCAGCCCTGGCCAAGCCAATCTCTATACCCACGAACCTGGTGTCCCTCTTTTCTCGCTATGTTGACCGACAGAAACTGAACTTGCTGGAGACAAAGCTGCAGTAAGTTTGAAACAGGAGAGCTCCACATCTCGCTACAGCTGGCACTTTAGAAGTCACGAGGAGGAGGTCAGGGGCCTGAGCCTGAATGTAGTGGAAGACGGTAGAGACTCGTATCAAATCTCTAAGCATCTGCCAGATAGCAGGCCCCGAGCCCGGAGCAGCGGCACCCTCAGAGCTCACTAACTAGGGCTAGAGAGAGGTTGTGGGGGTTCTGTTACGAGAATTCTAACAAGGGTGTGACTTTGATGCAAATGATTGCCTTCTGTTTTAACTCATTTACACAAGTTTCCTTTCTCTCTTTCTTTATACCCATAGGCTAGTTCAGGGGATACGATAAAAGATCTCCACATGTGTCCTGTACCTCCTTTTGGCTGCCACCTGCACTGCCGCCATCACAAGGGAGTGGTTTTTAATGAGGGAGGGAAGGTAGCTTATTCCCCAAAGCGTCTTGTGGGACCGATTCCCATTTGCAGGGGTCGCCTCTGAATGGCAGGGACTCCCCGCTGCTCTGTGAAAGCTGGCTGGCTGCCACTTCTGCTGGGTTCTTCTTACCGTCTGTGTTGCAGTTCTGCATGTCCTGCCCTCCCTCGGGTCCTCTCAGTTTTGCATTTTCTTTGCCCTAGAGACACAAATAGTATCTCTCCCTTTGTCCCAGCACCACTGCTCCGGGTCAGAGTAGACTGTAGCCTTCCAAGGGCTTCCTTCCCTCGTCCTGTTAAAGTCTTCTTTCGTTGCCCCGTATTAACACGACTGTAGGAGAACCAATTAAGTAGAAACCGATATAGACAGATGCGCGCACATCCCTCTCCACGCGCTCGTGTGGGCTCCAAGGGGGCCTTGAAGAACGAGTTTTAGACGGGGAAATATGTAGTTGACACGTTCCTCCTCTAAAAACAAAGCAGCTGATGTATTTTTAATCTGTTTCTAGTCCATTCTGTAATTAATTTGGTGGGTTCTACTTGTTTTAATATAAACGCAGGGTATGGAGCACGTTAATAAAGTCAGAGCTCTGAATCGGCTGACACCCAGCTCTAGGCTGAGAAGTCCTGTCTCGTCCCCGCCACACCTGCGTCCTCCCCGCCCCCCCCGCCCCCCGCCCCCGTGTCTGTCCACCGCAGTGAAACCGCACACGGTTAAGCCCTTTACCCACCTCGGCGGCGGCACCTGGGACCTGTCCCCTCCACGACCCGAAAGCTTGCCCCCAACGAAGCGGACGAGGGCCTGCCTCCACAGCGTAGCGTTTGCACAGTGTCAGTAAGCCTTGCCCTCCATTCCCTCTCCCCGCCTGCGTCGGCGTCATGCGCGGCAGCCTCCCGTGGCAGCCGCCGAAGCAGGGTTCGGCCCACCGCGCCCCGCAGGCCCCTCCACGCCACGGACTCGCCATCCCTCCCCTGTCCCCCAGGCCTCTGGGGGCCTGGCTGCACGTCCCGGCAGGGACAGCCGGCCGTGTCCTGTGCACCTGGCCCCGTCCTGCATGGCAGCCACGCAGGAGGAGGGGTTTGATCCCGAGTGATTACAGCCTTCGAGACCATCAAATCAGAGTCCGTTTCTCATGACGTCCTGATTACGCTTTTTGCTCTTCTCACCTTTTCAGACGTTAGTGGGGGGACAGGTTATGCTGTTTAAAGAGAATCACCATTTTGCACATACACGTATTGTACAACCATAAAGCCCTCCGTTACAGTCGGCTATCCTCACTGTCCATCCGTCTGTCCCCGGTCCGTAGCCCCGGCCCCGCCAGCTGCTCCGCGGTGACATGACCTAGCGTCCCTGGGCCCTCACCTACTGACTGTTTCCACCATGCACCTCTCCTCCCTGCCCCTCACAACCGATCAAGTGAATACTTGACTATTATTTCTTCCTTTCTGTGCTTTATCTTTTTTGTTTGGTTCTAATTAATAAAAATTAAAGTTTCTAAATTTACATTTTTATAGGGTATTGTAAATAAAAACAAATTGTATACTTGAAAAACTGTGTGCCTGCGTTTCTGCTTCGTGGTCCTTTTGTCTGAATTTGTAGGATTTCCCATGTGTCTCCAGCCTGGTGGGAAGGACTGGCAAGCCTCTTGGTGTTAGGGACAGGTGAGGATCTTACCTGTTTGGTGTTCTCTGCTTCCTGTGACCAGGAGGCTCCGGGTAACCCAGTTTGGCCTAAAGCTGCCGTGGCCCTTAGCTCCGACTCACATATTTCGCCTCCTCAGAGAAGACGAGGAAGAGTTGATCATTCTTTGTGGCAAATCTGTGTTCCTTATCTCAGACCCGGGTGTTATTTTTACCCCACCGTGCCCCGGATGAAAGACTGCCGTGTCCGCTCGCTCCCCTCCGGGTGGTGTGAACAGTACTCTCCCTCCCTGTATCTTCTCACGAGACTTTCAGGATCAAATGATTTCTGGCCCGAGAGTGGAATCGTCCCGGTCCTCGCTGGGTTCGTGTGAAAACCGGCGGCAAAAGTGCATGCCGCTCCAGGAGCCGTTGGAGAGCCAGCCCGAGGCCTCGAGGACCCTGGCGTCAGGCCAAAGCCACCACCGCCGTCTGGACAGCTGCACACATCTTCCCGGGAAAATGAGGTTTCTCTTTCTTTCCATGCTTTTGCACTTAGCTGCTTGGCTCAGTAATAACCAGGGAGACCTTATGTTTTCGGGGGGAAACTTCAAACGAGAAAAATTTAAAAGGAGAGAGGGGGACATCTTTAACTTCGTTGGGCGCCTACTTGCATAAACTTGTTTCCCCGAAGAGCAGACCGGCTCCCCGAGGGAGGGGAACGAGCTTGCTGGCGCTGTCGCGGCCAGTGCGCCACAGGGCAGGGGACTCGGGGCCTTCTTGCTGCTGGGATCCACTAGGGCTGTCTTCCCCCGGACACGCCGCCGCCGCCTCTCCACTCTTACGAAGAGGACATCAAGGTCCCACGGTGGTACGGGCTGGGCTCCCTCCCTTTCCAGAAGACCACCCCGGGTGCCTGGAGGAAGGCTGGAGGGAGCCTGGAGCCCACGAAACCGAGGCTCCCAGGCCGCAGGGACTTGTGCCGAGCCTGCACCCATTGGCAGAAAAGCCAAGAAAGGAGCTCAGGCTTGCACCTTCTCTGGTCCTCTCTGGATTACAGTCCACCACGGTCAGAAATGCGGGCCCTTGTCCAGAAAATACATCACATTTCTTGGGAGAAAAAGACTGAGTTTAAGAAACGTGCTCCTGGGGGCGCCTGGGTGGCTTAGTCGGTTGAACGTCTGACTTTCACTTAGGTCATGATCTTGCGGTTCGTGGGTTCGAGCCCCGCGTCGGGCTCTGTGCTGACTGCCAACTCAGAGCCTGGAGCCTATTTCGGAGTCTGTATCTCCCTCTCTCTCTGACCCTCCCCTGCTCACGCTGTCTCTCTCTCTCTCTCTCTCTCTCCCCTAGAAATAAATAAAAATATTAAAAAAAAAAAAGTTGCTCCTGCTTTATGAATGGAGCAAGAGCTTACAATAACTCCTGACTTTTAAGTCATAGTGGATATGAGAGATTGTTCTAGATGCTTAGAAAGTCATTTTTAAGACTCACAGTAACCAGTGAAAGCAATTCTTACCTCCATATTAGTGTATGTCAACAATAATCAGATCACATGATGCGCTGAAACAATTTACAACAGTGGGGCACAGAGCTAAAACTGACATCAGTGAATGCAATCTTTTGAGAAAAAGAAGACCCTGGGGGCACCTGGGTGGCTCAGTCGGTTGAGCGACTGACTTAAGCTCAAGTCACGATCTTGCGATTGGTGAGTTCGAGCCCTGAGCTAGGCTTGCTGCTGTCAGTCTGTCAGAGCAGAGCCCACTTCGGATCTTGTTTCTCTCTGTCCCTCCCCCGCTTGCACTCTCTCAAAAATAAACATTTAAAAAAGTGTTAAGTAATAGATCATACAGTTGTGAATAATAATTTATAAAGGAAGGGGTGCCTGGGTGGCTCAGTTGGTTAAACGTCCAACTTCAGCCTGCAGTCGGGCTTTGTGCTGACAGCTCGGAGCCTGGTCTGCTTCGGATTCTGTGTGTCCCTCTCTCTCTGCCCCTCCCCAACCCCACTCCCCACCCCCCACCCCCACTCACTCTCTGTCTCTCTCTCTCTCTCACACACTAAAATAAACATTAAAAAAAATAAAATTTTTAGAAAAGAAAATGCAAGTGAGTAATCATCAGAGATAAATAACAAAATACTTTTTTACCTATTAAGTTAGCAGAATCTTTAAAAATAGTGCTAGTGAGAATTTGAGGTAACCGCTCGTACTGGTAGACTAAATTACATTTCTGGAAGTGCTTTAGCAATGTGAAGAGCTTCAGAAGTATTCATAGCCTCTGACTAATTCACTGAGCTCTAAAAATCCGAGGAAAGATTCCAAAGGAATGATACTAACATACTGTTTATGATAGAAAAATTAGAAATAACCTACACACCCAGTCTCACAATAATGGTTATGGGTAAATGATCACCCGTGTGTCACAGACGATTAGAAAAGCAGAATATTTGATCACGGAAAGATATAGTATGGGGGGGGAACAAAGTATATATTCTTTGAACCCAATTTTTAATTCATTTTTTTAATTTTTATTTTTGAGAGAGAGCAAGAGCGGGAGAAGGGCAGAGAGGGGGACAGAAAATCCAAAGCAAGCTCTGCAACTGACAGCAGTGAGCCCGATGTGGACCATGAGATCATGAACTGAGCTGAAGTCGGACACTAGACCAATTGAGCCATCCAGGTGGCTCTTTTTTTTTTTAATGTTTATTTTTGAGAGAGAGAGAGTGCACATGCATGTGAGCGGGGGAGGGGCAGAGAGAGAGGGAGACACAGAATCTGAAGCAGGCTCCAGGCTCTGAGCTGTCAGCACACAGCCCAATGCGGGGCTTGAACTCACAAGCCACGAGATCATGACTTGAGCTGAAGTCGGACGCTTAACCAACTTAGCCACCCAGGTGCCTCTGGCCCCCCAGTTCTTTTTTTTTTTTTTTTAAGATTTTTTATTATTATTTCAGAAAGAGCATGCAAGCAGGGAAAGGGCAGAGGGAGAGAGAAAGAATCTTCAGCAGGCTCCATGCTCAGGTTAGAAACCAACTTGGAGCTTGAATTCACGACTCTGGGATCACGAACTGAGCCAAAATCAAGAGTCAGATAGACGCTCAACCAACTGAGCCACCCAGGACCCCAAAATCACATCATTTTTTAAAGAAACTGCATATATAATGAAAAAAAGATAACGGAGGGGACGGCGTGTTCCAAAAGGTTACTGGTGTCTGTCTCTAGGTGGTGGGAATACGGGAAACTTACTTTTGCTTTTCAGTATTTTCCAAATTTTCCATAGAGAAAACACATTGCTTATATTCTTAGAAATATTTTTAAGGAAAAATTGCTTTTGGAGAGTTTAGTTAAAATGAGAAAATAGTAAGAATGCAAATGTTAAGTGTAAAATAGATTCTGTATGTGTATATATGTGACTTAATCTCTACAGAGGGAAAAAGTAGGAAAAATAATACTCTCAAAGGTGACAAAATACCAGTGGTGACCTTTAGGGGAGGACTGTGGGGATTGGGGGTGGGAATAATTTCCTTTTTCCATATTTTCCAAATTGTCTTTGGTGAGCATGTATTGCTATTATAACCAAAAGAGCGATTATTCTCTAAACTAAAAATAGTAGTAGCCTTCTATTTCTAGTGAGAAAATAAGTTACAGAGGGCAAAAGTGTCTGATCTAGTTGTGCTTGACTTAAGAGACAAAGCATCTGACTTTATCGCAAATGAATGTGCAAGGGGTCTGAAAAAGTCATGTGAGAACAAGGCAGTTACCCTGAGAAATGGGGTCAGGTATTAACGTAGTTCGATAATTAAGATGATTTACCAACTGAGGGATGCAAGAACCGTTTTTGATAAACCCAAGCTCTATTTCCTAGGAAGCTTCCAGATTTACACTAAATTGCATTTTTTCCAAACCAACCTGGATCAAGAAGGATCTCAGCTCCATCTCCAGAAAGATCTTCATTTGGAGCACCTGGGTGGCTCAGTAGGCTTTGCCTCAGGTCATGCATGCTCTCACGGTTTGTGAGTTCGAGCTCCACATCAGGCTCTGTGCTGAACTCGCGGAATCTGCTTGGAATTCTGTCTCTTCCTCTCTCTCTGCACCTCCCTCACTTGCTATCTCTCTCTCAAAATAAAAATAAACCTAAAAAAAAAAAAAAAGATCTGCTTTCATCTGCTTTCTGTGTCAGCCAGCTGGCTTGCACTGAAATTGCCCTGTCCATCATTAGGAAGGCCAAAACATGACTTTCTGAATTTGATACAGAGAACTGGATGCCTTCTGCCGTCTGTATTTGGAGGGTGGTGAAGTTCACTGTGTGAGAAGTCAAAGCAGGGAGTTAAAGGCAACTGACACTTTTCCTCTTCTCCCAACTCTGTTTTAAATATATTAGTGTTGTGACCTTTGAGAAACTACCATGTGAATGTTTTTAAACTTTTTTTTAATGTTTATTTCTTTTTGAGAGAGAGAGAGCGTGAGCAGGGAAGGGGCAGAAAGAGGGAGACACAGAATCCGAGGCAGGCTCCGGGCTCTGAGCTGTCAGCATAGAGCCTGACTCAGGGTTCAAACTCAGAAACCTCGAGATCATGACCTGAGCTGAAGTTGGACACTTAACCGACTGAGCCACCCAGGCGCCCCTACCACGTGGGTTTTTAAGAAGCAAGTCTTGGGGCGCCTGGGTGGCTTAGTCGGTTAAGTGTCCGACTTTCGCTTCAGTCATGATCTCGCGGTTCGGGGGTTCGAGCCCCGCGTCGGGCTCTGTGCTGACTGCTGGCTCAGAGCCTGGAGCCTGTTTCAATCTGTGACTCCCTCTCTCTCTGACCCTCCCCTGCTCATGCTGTCTCTCTCTCTCTCTCCTAGAAATAAATAAAACATTAAAAAAAATTAATAAGAAG